AAAGAAAGAAAAGAAAAGAAAGAAAGAAAAAAAATTTAAAAAGGAAATTAACATCTAATTTGTCCAAAAAAAATTTTAGCTGAGAAGAAATACCACCCCATAATAATATTTATTATTTTTAAAGCCACAAATAATGTTTAGGGCATCTATCCATTTTATTGTTATCTTTAAACAATGTGAATAATAATATATACGGCTTAGATATTTAAACATGTTTCAAATGGGAGCGAGGTGACTTGCTGAAAATTGGATGAAGACAGAAAGGAAACATGATTTTAGAATTAATATATATAATTATGCTGTGCTCTCTTCTTGACCAGATGTGTGACACTTAATCATAACCTAATACCCATTCCTTTCTGTTGATAAATGTAGATTTTTCTAGTCTTAGGGCAAAAGGCATTTGTTCTTGGTGACAAGTTCTTTCGTAAGAAGCTTGTAATCCATTCATGATCATCTGTTGTTAATAGCACAGAGGAATTCTTTAACTGAGAGGCTTGGTCCCAAACACACTTTCCAACTCAAATTTCAGTAATTCTAATTGGAATATAAATTTAAAATTGCTCTACCACATCTCAAATTGAGAAGAACAAAATAAGGAGTGAAAGTGGCAATTTATTAACTAACCAAAATTGCAGGCAATATGGTAGATGTTTTTCATTGCTATTGGGTCATCAGGAAAGTCCTAACACACTTTTGCATAGAAAAACAGAAAAATATGTCATGGCTTTCCTGATGATGACCTAATATTTCATATAGTACTCACAACCTTGTAAGGCAGTATTTTTATCTTCAGTTTCTAGAAGAATAAAGAGAATGAACAATTGTCTTGACATCATAAAACCACTGCACATTAGCAACAATTTTTAATAATTATCATTTACCCTTTATCTATAGTATAAGGATAATAAAAAAAAATCTTGCCTTTATAAATAATAATAATGAAACATTCTGAGCCTTGAAAAATCTGAGTTGATAGGTTGATAGATTTACCCATGCCAAACTCAGACAAATTTTGGTAAAGATTGTTTAAGCAAAATCATTTTCAAAAGTATACATACTGGGTCAGCTGGTGGCAAGGTAGTTATATCCTACAGAACTGACCTCATGATTCAAGTCCCAGACCCAGAAACTTGGAAAATACACCAGGTCCATGTGCGTGTGTGCCCAAAATCCCAAGAGGGGGTGCTTCTTCCTCTCCCACACCCTGCCTCTCTTTGATGAGCACACACATTACATAGAAGATTTTTAAAAAGTGTATAAATACTACAAAATTAAATTCTGATGTAAAAATACTCAAAATTGTCATTCCCTTCATTAAAATTATAAAATAGACAAGAATAAAAAGTACTTTCATAATTTTATCCATTTTTAGACTCTGTCACACATCTTGTAGACTTGAATGCAAGATCGAGTTAGTATCTACTTCACTATTATTATTTTTTACACTAATACTGCTTAATCTTTGCCTTAAAAGTAGCAGAATATTGACAGGCAATGTGATTGTGTATCTTTTACCCATAAGGATTTTAGGCAATAATATAATTTCTGGTTTGCATAGGTTTATTGAATTATATCCTCTTTTTTTTTTTTTTTTTTTTTGGTTTTCGCTATAGGGTGTGTGTGCTCGCCATAAAGACAGAGAGAAAGTGAGAAATCACCCCCCAGGGGGAATGGTCACACCACAATCCCTTCTCCTCCATTCTCCTCTCAGGATCTTGAGTACGCACGCACACGCACCCAGTGTGAGTTTAAGCCTCCTGGTCCAGGACTTTAACCGCAGTCGACTACATGGGAGTCCAGTGATATACCCATTACACCAACTGCTGGTCCCTGTTTTGTTTTTAAGTAAGTGTACAAGGGAAATTTCAGCTTATTTGTAAACCACATAAATCATTTGCTATAACTTTGACTTTTCCTTCATATCCTAGTGGTTTACATGCTCAATATGAATAATTTCAATTAATTTCAGTTTTATGAGCTTAATTTTTCACCAAAAATTATGACTGAAAACATTTGATAGTTGTGTTTCATGTCAAATGCCCCGATGAAGTTGTTTTAGCAACTATTTTCTTTATAATTTTCTTTTTAATTTTTTTGGAGAGGTTTTTGCTATAGGGCACGTGCACTCGCCAGAATGACAGAGAGGGACAGAGAGACAGAAAGCGAGAAATCATCCCTCAGGGGATGGCCACGCAATCCCTTCTCCTCCATTCTCCTCTGAATCCTGGGCATGCATACGCATGCACTCGGCGTGAGTTTAAGCCACCAGGTCTGGGACTCGAATTGCAGTTAACTGTATGGGAGTCCAGCGACATAGCCATTATGCTAACTGCTAGTCCCCTTTATAATTTCATCTTTCCATTACTTTAAATTATTTCTGAAATTGATGTCACCTAAATTTGCATAACAAAGTACAGTTCCTAGAACATCAGAGGGTTGTCAAGCAAGCCAGAGACAGTGCCATAATTCATCTGATCTCCCTCATATTCTCTGGAATGAAATCTAATATGCATCCAATACAACAGTAGCTCTTGAAAGCTTCCTACTTGCTAAAAAATCAAACATTTCATTCATTATTTTACCTTTTTAAATTCTCACACTTTTCCAAATATATATTACTATGTATATATAACATATATAGTAATATGTATAAAATATATAGTAATATGTATAATATTTGTAGTTATATATAGATCTCTCCTAAAAAAAATTACATATATTTAATGTGTAATATATTATATATAATATATGAAATCTAATAATATATTTAATATGTTACATAAATATATAACACATAATATATTTATATATAATATGCAATATATTAAATATATGCTATATATAATGCATATACAAAATATATGCTTTCATATATATATATATATGAAAGCATCCCTCTGTAGTCCTTTAATAACTTGATTGACACTTGCTAATTTAACACAATTACATTCTGAAGGACAAACTGTATGGACTGGAAAGCCTCCCTTCAAAGAGAAATTATTTTTTTCTCCTGAAACTACCAACTAGTACTTCTTCTCTGAATATTTTTAAATTACTGAAATATTCAGAAAAATTGGGTCATAATCAAGGGTACTTCAAAAAGTTTATGGAAAAATGGAATTAAAGTAGGATACTGCCCACGAACTTTTTGAATATCCCTTTGTACTGCATATAACTTTACAAAGCTAGCCATCCTAGATGATATCAGATATCATTTTGGGAGAGTTAAAAGAACAGTGGTTCAAGCCCTAGCCAAAACGTATCTCTTGAAGGGCAAGCACGCAGGTCGCCTGAACATTCTCCTCATATCTAAGGTGTAGATGGGAGTGTCTGCCCATTGGGACTGCACTTGGTTGCTGTGGAAAGGGGCTGTTCACTTCGCTGTCAAGCACTATAAATCATAAAGTGATCGGCATATTTAGCTACGACTACGGTATTATAGTTCTACATTCCACTAAGGGGCAAGGTCCTCGGAAATCAAAGAAGGGAGAAACATGTAGTGAGATTTACCAATTCTTCATTTTCAAACTCCAGATTATATTGTGCAGCTTCTTCTGTAACTGGTTTCTGAACAATGTTTCTACAGACAAGCCAGATGGTCAGACTAGCGATGAACATCCCGATATCAGGCACAAACACTCGGATCCCATTGCCAGCATCAGCTCCCTTTAAGCTATGGAGGAGAAAAGGGGGAGGGGAGAGGAAATTTAGTTATTCTTAAAGTTCTGTGATCAAGCCAGCTTGTAGTATGTTTCAGTTTTCTTAATGATTTAATATAATAGACCTTTAGTTTCTGCCTACAAGGCACCATAATGCCTTTCATTGGCCTCAGAGTCTTACAAACTCTATGAAGATTCAGGATGATTCCAGCCTTTCTGTAGGATTTCAGAAATGTTATAAAAATTGTAAATTAACTTACATTCTTAAAACCAGTTAGAAAATTATATTGTTAAATAAACCACAAGTCTAATATGAATGCAGTTGTTTGCAATCTGGCTAAAGCAGTTAAAAACTAGACAGATACTGACAGCTAGAAGATATTTTATTTTAGAGAAAAGCATAAACAATCCTTAAACCCAGAATAAAAGTGGATTTTGTGTTCCACACTGTTCCAAGAAAGGTAGATTTGTTGGGTCGTTGGAAGAGTGATGACGTAGTCTATGTTTTTCTACGCAAAAATACATCATGACTTTTCCAATGACCCAGTAGTATGTTTCTTCTTTTCATCTTAGAGAAGTAATAGTGAACTGAGAATGAGAAGACTGGGGTTCTAGTGTTAAGTGTGACACTTGGTAGCTGCAGTGCACTAGAGGACTTCCCTCAGTCTTCTGTTCTTCCTCTGTGCTCAGAGATAATACTTTTGCCTTATGTCATTGGAGTGAAATGAGATCTAAGTCATCATTTTAGGGAAAAAAAAGATGAATATGCATATATATGAAATAATATACATAAAAGTCCTTTGCGAAGTATGAAACACATATTTCCACTTAAGCCTACAGTTTGAGGACAGCAGCATCGACATTTAGACAATTTTTGGACAAATACGGCATTTGCTATTATAACTGAGATCCTGAAAAACATTTGGTAGAGCAGGCAGCCAAAGCCGGCGGGTGAGGTGGAGAGGGGAAAGGGCTTCCACAGGAAGAGGAGGAGGGAACTGTCTGGGAAGGTAATACAGACACCATCCAGGATTCTGGGACATGTCCAAGGATAGGGAATATGGGAATAGGCAGCAGTATATTGAGTAGCTAGCATGGCTGGCCAGTACACATCATTTCAACTGAAACGTGTTCTGGCTCAGCTCAGTCTGCTGCAAGTGTAAGAGAAGGGAGTTTAATCGCCACCGGCACACTTCTCACACCATTCAGCACACCGCGGAGGCCCACTGAGTCCCTCCCAGTGGTGCCAGACAATTACCCAGCATCCACTGTAGTCTGGAGGCCTGGGCTCATGGTGCCCTATGAACGTGTAGTGCTCACAACCACAAAACTTATTGCCATTAAGAAAGCCACGCGGACAGTGATTCCTGGCCATTTCTCTGCTCACCATATAGGAAGGAATAAACATGCAAAAAAAAAGCTAATGAAATGACTAAGAGATGTGAAGAAAAATGACACAGGTTTGGGTTTGTGAAATGAGTTTAGAGTAGGGAAGACACAGGCAGAGGAGTCAAGGATCTATGCTAGAACTGAAACTTCTATTAAAGAATGGTCAGTGGAAGAATAGAAGCAGAACTTCAAAGAAGGGTTAAGTCTAAGAAGGAACATTTATGAGAGATATAACTTAATTAGGACTGAAGAAAATAATAGGGTTATATATCATATAAAGATACAAATATACACACATTTCATGTGATTATACACCTATTTTCATTATATTGTATATATTATATATTTTGGCAAAAACATTTAAAAATAATAAATAGCAAGTCTTCTGATATCTGGAAATAACCACTGTTAACATTTTGGCAAATAAAAATTATTGGTAATATCTACTACCTACCAAGCACTTACTTTATGTTAAGAGCTTTGCACTTACCATCTTTTTTTCTCCTTTTTTTTAAAGATTTTGTTACAGGGCGTGTGTGGTCTCCAGAGAGACAGAGAGAGACAGAGGGACAGAAAGCGAGAAATCACCCCCTAGGAGGGATAGTCATGCCTCAAATTCGTTCTCCTCCATTCTCCTCTCGGGATTGTGGGCACACGCACACACTCCTGGTGTGAGTTTTAAACCGCTGCGTCTGGGATTTGAACCATGTTCAACTATGTTGGAATCCAGTGATAAAAGAATTATCTGATGGTCTGCTAGCTAGGCATTACTAGCTTTTTTTTAACATATGAAAAACTAAGGGGTCAAAAGCCAAACTAACTTCTTGAAAGGCACACAGAGAAAATAGAGTTATATTCCATTGCATCCAAAAGTATGCTCTTTACTACTATGTTATATATATATATATATATATATATACCCATCCATAAGAA